ATAGGAAACCTTTGAGTACATGTGCCTCAAGATCCAGTCTGTTTCCCAAGGACAGAGATGGCAAAACAGGCAAATTCCTCCTCTTTGGATCACTTTTTCTGCACTCCTTGAAAACAAACACTCTTCCACTTGTGCTTGTCATGAACATGTTTATAAGACTAAAACTGACAGGATATTTGTTACATTAATTGACCTCGTCTTGAAGAGAATTTTGGAAATGAGATGGGATTTGAGAAACACTTTAGTCTTATCAAGAAGACACATTCCATTTCTTAAGACAGACTATTCATCCAGCCCTTTTTTAAAGTTTACTTATTTATTTTGAGAAAGAGAGAGCATGCATGCCCACAAGTAGGGGAGGGGCAAAGAGAGAGAGAGAGAGAGAGAGAGAATATCCCAAGCAGGCTCTGTGCTGACAGCACAATATTCTCTCTCTCTCTCTGTCTCTCTCTCTTCCCCAAAATAAATAAATAAACTTTATTTTTTTTTAATGTTTATTTATTTTTGAGAGAGAAAGACAGAACATGAGTGGGGGAGGGGCAGAGAGAGAGGGAGACACAGAATCAGAAGCAGGCCCCAGGCTCTGAGCTGTCAGCACAGAGCCCAACGCGGGGCTCAAACTCACAGACCGTGAGATCATGACCTGAGCCCAAGTCGGATGCTTAGCCAACTGAGCCACCCAGGTACCCCCAAACTTTAAAAAAAATAACAAAAATCATGTGTTACATATTCCCAGAGAGAGTTAAAGCACTTTAACTCCTCAAGTGAATCTCAAAATCTCATATGGCTAAAGGACCTTTTTCTTTCTAAGCCTTTGTTATTTTTTCCCCTGACTTAAGATGTGACTATGCTTTTCCAAGTGTGGACTTGCATTAGGGAAATTCCGTTAAAATATGTCATCTTTATGACAAAATGGAAACTAGAAGTCAGAAGCCGTAAACTCTTTCTTGCTCCATCATACTAACATTTTCAATCCCTGAAATACAGGTGTCGTGTGTATTCCACACCCTATGACACAAATTAATGATCTGTTGGTAATAACCCATGGACTCATTTGGAAGCCAAAGGCATGATTTCTCTTTTCTGCACCCCAGTTTAAGTTCCTTGCCCCACATCTTGTACTTTCTAGTTCCATCTCTCTCCTCCTCCCCACCTGCTTATATCATGGCTGCAGTCTCCCCAGACACAGTATCCCCCCAAGTCATCACCATGCTAAGGCCTGCTGTCGATTCTAAAGTGGCTAGAGATCTTTAATGGAGAGGAAACTCAGTGATTCTATCAGCTGCAAGTGGCACAGCTGTGGGTCTTTGTTCTGTATGCTGACTGCAGGATTCTCATACCCTGAGCAAGGACCCAGGTGCTCTGAGATCATCTCAGAGTTCCTCTTAGTAAAGAGAATCGTTGAATTAAAAGCCACATGGAATTGATTAGTTTATACTTTTATGACACTTTTCCCGTTAATAAATTCTGAAATTAGAAGAGCCATGTTTTGACAGTTCCTGTGTTCAGAATGAATAGTTACTAGGTGCCCCCTTTGCTCATTGAAGCTCTTTTTGTGGGTGTAGACTGTTTTCAGAGTAGCCCTGGAAATCTGACGGCCTCCTCAGTATATCTTGCTTGCGAAATGTTCTAGGATTGGACCTGAATCAGGGCATCCCAGGAGCTTAGACAGATTTCAGAGTTCCTAGAACATTAGGGGCCATCTTTTTGTCCTCGTTTTTTTATAGATGAGAAAACTGAAAACCAGCGAGTTTAAACGACATGGCCAGACTCACACAGCTAATGTCTAGCAGACACAGTGCTGTATCTAATGACTCCTCCCAGGCTAAGCCTCTTCCTAAAGTCGCACAGCACCAGGAAACCCCCAGTTTAAACTAGAGAGGAGCTCCTGAGCGCCCCTCCAGAGATGGTGCCATCCTTAGCCCGGGATGGGAGGCCACCAGTAGCAAAGACCCCAGCTGCTCTGTGACTTCCTGTGTTGGCCCTTGGGATTCATTCCTAGGGCTTCAAGATTCCATTTCCTCCTCTGAACCATCATGCCACAAACACCTGCCCTTCTCCCTCACCCCACTGAAGGTCTCAGTATTTCCTAATTATATGTTTCCTAACTAATGCACGCAGTTCACCCATCCTGACGAACTTACCACAGAGGGGCAACTTAGGGGTGAATGTGTGACTATGCAGAAAGCATGTGGAGCTCCTCAGATGACAAGCTCTGCAGAAGTGCTGATGCTCATTACATAGGACTTTTTTCAGAGAGATTTGCATCGCTAATTGCTTGTTTCTCCCAACACCCCTCTGGGGAAGATCAGTAGTATTACTTGAAAATATAAAGTGCTATATAATTTTGCACTTATACACCGCCTTTCGTGGAGCACCTCCAAGTGCCTCACAAACATTAACTCGTTCCTCACAGGCTCGGGTGAAGGAAGTCAGATGTCACTTTGCCCTCGTTTTACACTGAGATTTTCTGGGACCAGCGAGACAAGAGAGTTCCTGGCCCTGGGCTTAGCTTGCTAGATAACACTCCCCATCTAGTGGCCCTTCGGTACCCTCTGGTGCTGCAGTGTGTAATGCTCTTTCATTGCTTGGAAGGTTCCCTCATGAGCTGAGTGGTTTTGTTGGTTTGTACAAAAGTTTGAAAACCTGAGGCCACGCCATGCCATGCTTTGTTTGCAGTGAGACGTCTTATGGTGGAGGAGCACAAGTGCTTCGGGAAGGTCTTTCAGAAGCCATCTCCCGGCCTTCCTCCGCGAGGGCGTGCCTTCCCATCCTTTGTGTTCCCCTCTCCTTAGGCAATGCTGTGTGGGAACCGAGCTGGTGGACTGGATGCTGCAGCAGACTCCCTGTGTCCACTCCCGAACTCAGGCTGTTGGCATGTGGCAAGTGCTGGTAGAAGACGGCGTTCTCAACCACGGTAAGATGAGCCCTAGGCCCTGGAAAACCCTTTCCCTGGGTAAGTTGTTGCTGCACTCCCAAATGGGCCAAAAAGGAATTATGGTCCCTTTAGGGGCCTAGAGAGCCGGCATCTTCATTTAGCAATACGAGTGCGGCGAGCGGATGCTATTGATTGCTATGTTCCGCCATCGTGCCCCCCTAACATGGGAGAATGTATGAAGGGAAAATGAAATTGCGACCCGAGTGCATCAGTTCCAATTATGTTTATTAGTTTGCATTCACGGTTCATTGGTAGTGTGATTATACTCTGAGCATAGCAATCCTGATGCAGGGGCAGAATGAAGAGCAATGCGATGTGCAGCGGGGCTGGTGGCAGGAAAAGGAAGTAATGAATTCAGAAGCTGCCTTTTAACAATGGCGTTATCTGGGAGAGCCAATTTGTATCCACACGGGATGACCATATTTAAAATCAGGAATGCGCTCCACTGTTGCAGCCCCTGACACCTGCAGGGGCTATTGTGGGGCAGGGTAGCTGTTCAGGACTGGAGTATGACTGTGGTTGATCTGCTCATGCCATTTGCTTTAACGACCACTTTTCCAAACTGACAAACCATTAAAATCGTTCATTTAATTTACCAAGGCCTGAGAATCTAATGATGGCTTCACCTGTGTTTCTCAGACTTTAATGTGCATTCAAGCCATCTGGGACTCTTGTTAAAATGCAGATTCTGACTCAGCAGGTTTGGGATGGGTCCTGAGGGTCTGCGTCTCTAAGACATAGAAATGAGAGATCCTGAGCCAAGTTCACTGACTGTCCTACCAAGATCTAAGTCTTTTTCTTTAAAAGGAACAAGGGGAAAACAAAACTTTTAAAATCAGAACTGGATGGAAATTACCCTAAGTTACTTCTAGGGTTATTTGACCTAGAAGCTCGGTCTCGTCAGTTTTGTTCAAACAATTAATTTTATTCTAAACTTTTTTTTATTTAAAAAAAATTTTTTTTTTAACGTTTGTTTTTATTTTTGAGACAGAGAGAGACAGAGCATGAACGGGGGAGGGTCAGAGAGAGAGGGAGACACAGAATCTGAAACAGGCCCCAGGCTCTGAGCTGTCAGCACAGAGACCGATGCGGGGCTCGAACTCACGGACTGTGAGATCATGACCTGAGCCGAAGTCGGATGCTTAACCGACCAAGCCACCCAGGTGCCCCTCTAAACTTTTTTTTAAAGTGCAGACATGTTAACAAACAGTACATATGGAAAGAAAAATACGAATCCTGATCCCTATAGAGTAAGATTGTTTTAAGTCTGTGCTCGAAAACCATTATAGAGCATGATCTGGCAGTTGGTTATTTTCCTGTTTGGGACACATGTCCCACATGCCAGAAGATGTCACCAAGGCAATTTTTGCTGGTCAGAGTGCTCATCTTAGAAAAGCTGGCAGGTTCTCATAAGAACGTGGTGGGGCTAGCCAGTGGCGGGCGGGCCAGAGAGAGCCTGCATGACCGCAGTTGGGAAGTCATGTCTTCCAGCTGCACGGCCCTGGGCGAGGCGGGGTCAGAGGGCTGAGGAGTCTCACCGCTCTGCTGCCACTTGGCTCTCTTGCCCGACACCAGCCATTTGCTTCTGGTAAACGGGGCTGTGAGGCAGAGGGACAACAGCTGATCCTTGGCTTCATGTTTCACGTAGTGGACCAGGAACACCATTTCCAAGACAAATATTTATTTTATCGATTTCTGGATGATGAGCACGAGGATGCCCCTTTGCCTACTGAGGAGGAGAAGAAGGAGTGTGATGAAGAGCTGCAGGACACCATGCTGCTGCTGTCGCAGATGGGCCCGGACGCCCACATGAGGATGACCCTCCGCAAACCGTGAGTAAGAGCGCAGTGCGCACCCTGTGCCAGTCCCCTGGGGCCACGGGCATGCGGAAGCACGACGCTCACCTGGGCCACAGGGAAGCAGGCTGATTTCCCAGGTCCTGGCCTGCACTCAGGGCCAAAGGGGAGGCTCTGGAGGTGGGACACAGCAGTGTTTGTCTCTTTTCTATTTTACTTTTGAGCCAGATAAATCCATTTCCCTTTTGCATGAGTTAAAACTGTACAGAATTTTAGTGGTTGGTTCGAGATGTCAAAACTAAGTCCACATATTAAAAAACCTTTAGGGGGCTCCTGGGTGGCTTAGTTGGTTAAGTGTCTGACTTCAGCTCAGTTCGTGATCCCGCGGTTTGTGGGTGCAAGCCCCGTGTCGGGCTCTGTGCTGACAGCTCAGAGCCTGGAGCCTGTTCTGGATTCTGTCTCCCTCTCTCTCTGCCCCTCCCCCTCTCACACTTTGTCTCTGTCTCTCTCAAAAATAAATAAACATTAAAAAAAAACCTTTGGGCAATGACGAACAGAAACTGCTCTGTTTCCATGCCAGAATGTGACAGCCCCTGTCTTTCTAATGCAATAGGGCGGAGGTCATCAGAACCATAGACATCATGCCTGTGCCTTTGTTCATTCATTCATTCAACACATCCTTTCACACCATTTTGAACCTTCTGCTCGTTAGCTTAAAGACACGTTCCTAAAAGAATACCACTGCTGCATTAGTGCTTCAAGACCTCCTCCCACTAGTAAGATGCTCTCTCCCTTCCATCTCAACTGAAACCCACCTCACCTTCAGTAACAACCTATCCGCTAAACTGGAGGATTCTGAAGTGTTTAATCAGATGGATTCAAGAAGAATGTACTGAGCCCCTGTTGTACTTAGAGAACTCTCCCAGTCGCTGTGAGGCATATAAAGAAGCATATGCCACAGTCCCAATCTTGGGGAAACCTTTTTAATAAGGCATGACTTGGCACTTGGTGTTGAGGCCACCATGCACAGGCTTATGATTTTCTTCTGGGAATGAAACGGCCCTCCACCCTGTGGCCAGTGCCAGCAGCTGTGGATGTCGATTCTGAGTCACAGGCATGGCCAACCTCCATTTATTCATGGGTCTCAACAAGTGCATTAAACTTCACATGTCTTGTATGTCCACGGGGCACTTTGCAAAAGTGCCATGCCCCTTAGGCCAACTTCCTCAATATCTGCCCCTCATGCCAACTTATAGTACTTCTTAGTGCTTCTCTGTTTCCTTTCTTCAACATATTTCACTTGTTGTCATGCGATGTCTCCTTTGTCAGGACTTTCTCTTGGGTCTTAATGTCCACCTCCATGTGTTTCATAGGCCTGCCCTTATCCTAGTTAGCACCACCATGTTTAACTCTAGAACACTGGTTAGGTTCTGGTCCTTTATCCTCAAAACCCTTTCTTCAAACAAAAATTGTATGGGAAAATCCAAACTATCAAACAGAAAAGCCAGAACTTCACTGACCTAATTATGGGTAGTATCCAAGAACCTTGCCCAGCTGATTTATGCTCTGTCTGTCCTGAAACATCACAGGGGTGGGTGGCTAAGGGGACACAAGGGAATCATCGGGGCATGGAGAACTCAAATGAACACCGTTCCAAACTGTGCTTTCTTTCATGTGAGTCCACTTCCTCTCTCCCTTCCCCACACACCTATGTCCCATTGTCCATCATTTTTACTTTCTCATCATTTCCTAGATCCATCCCCTTCTTGCTCTTCTTGCCTCTTTCATTCAAGTCAAAGCCATACAGTGGTTCTGAATCAGAAGTGGGACAGAATCAGAATCAGAAGTGGTTCTGAATCAGTGGGGCATTTGCAAGTGTGGGAGGATGTTTTGGTTGCCTCAGTACATGTGGGGACACACTTCTGCCATTCACTGGGCAGTGGTTAGGACCAAGGGTTGCCAAATACACCCAACAATACCTAGGACCCTACAAAATAAGGAGCTGTCCTGAAAGTAATGCTCCTATTGAGAAACATTGCTTTAAACTGAGTTTCTGAAAGGCAAAGACATATCCCATTTCTTTTTTCATTTATTTGTTCACTTCACCAATATTTGATAAACACCTATTTTTGTCCTAGATACTATGTTAGTTGCTAAGGCTAAAATATCGAAAAAGAGGGTTGCACCTTCTTCCTGGAGCTTTCTGCGTAGTCCAAGAGACAGACCTTAAATAGTTAGGCAAGGAATCATTTTGTCATAGCTGCAGTACATGCTACAAAGGAAAATGTAGTGTACATTAATAGAGTATAATATGGAGAGGGGGGATTTAATCTGGCATAGAAGTTAGAAAAGGCCATATTCCTAGCTCTGTGCATTCCACTAAATAGACCACCAATAAACTTTTGCTGAGTGAATGACTGAACAAATGAATGTCTGCTGGCAGCTAATGTTCCTGCAGCTCTTCGTTGCTTCAAGGGAAGCAGAAATGCCATTTGATTCACAAAGATTTTTGAGCATGTACCAAGAGGTTTTCTTTAAAAAATAATAATAAAATGGTTCCTGCCTTTGGAGAATTTATAATCCAGGAGGTGAGGCACTCCCAAATTAGGATCTGGTGCAACAAACACACTTATTGAGTGCCTATTGTGTGCTAGAAACATTCATGTGATTCACCCTCACAAGACCCTGAGAGCTGGTTTCTTGAGTCACCCTTAGAAAGAGAGCCTGTGCTTGTGCTTTTTTTCTTCCATACAGCACTGAATTGCATGATCCTTGGCAGCCCAAAGATTCTTCAGAGAAAACTATATTCCAAAGGTTGGATTTTTCCAGTCTATCACTAGAACATACAGGTTATACTAGTATTCCAAGACATCATTTTGAGTTCCCTTGGGATTTTCTTACCTTTCCAGGTTTTATCAAACTACAAAATTGGAATCGAACTGGTAGTTCTTCTGACTCAATACTCTTAGATTTTCTTTCTATTGGAATGACAGCTCCCAAGAGATGAGAAAGTGAAAAAGAAGGAATCTAATTTTTTTGAGACAGACTTTCAAACCTATGCACGTGCACACACACGCACACTCACACACACATACACACACATACACCTTTTTGGGGGTGGAGGGAGTCTGATAATAACCTTTGTAGCGTCTAATTTATTTAAGTGGAAAGAAAATATGCTTAGGTGATCAAGAATTTCCAGTATCACTGCTGTCCTTAAAGAGACCCCCTGAGCACTTTGCTCCTAGAAACCTGAGGGCATGTGTAAAGGTCCTGGAAATGTTGACGCTTTACTGCCCAGACAGCCAAGTCATTAGGAAATGTGGAGGCATGAGATGCATTGGCTCCATGTCGACCAGGGCAGGACCCCCCAATTTTTAAACTCAGCACAGCTGCATTTTATAATAGTCACCACTGCCAGAGAGGCTGCAGAACTCTGATAATTACTGGGAAAGAAATAACACAATATTCTTTGATGAGAAGATTACTTTGAGAATTTGATTGTATAATGAAGATGTTGCTTTGAAAGGTACTTCCCATTGTTCTGAATCTGAGACTCACTAGCAAAAAAAAAAAAGTGTCACTTGTTTTGACAGGCTACTTAGAAAAATTCTCTGTTTATTACATTAACTGCAGCATTTTAACTGTCAAACTATGAAAGAATGTTCTGTAGTTTAAAAAACAGAATAGAGCTTCAGGGGAAATTTTTTGGCATACTCTTGTTGCTATTGGTATTGAAAAAAAAACATACATCCCGAATGTGAAATTAGCTTTTTATGTGGTGGCAGGCAGAGTGACTCACAATGCCCATCCTGGTTTCACAGGTGCAGACCTGGATGGCACTGGGGGGCAAGTGCTATAGAACAATGACAGTTGATGGTGCTGTTGTTGCAGCTCACAGACAGAGCCATCAAACCTAAAATGAGCTCTTGGAGCTAATTGTTTTGATTTTGCTTTGTTTATAAGTCTAAAAGCAAGAGGTTACCCAACAGCGAGTAGATACAGTGGAGATCCTTGCCAATAGAAATGTTCCTTCTGCTTACCTTTGAGCAGATATTTTGGATAGGGGGCCATGGGCAAAAAGATGTGGCGTGACCAGATAAGCAGAATGTTATAAACTTGCAGCTAGCTGGATAAAAAGAGACAAAGAAGGTTCTTGCTGTACATGCCTCTCAACCTCTTCTTCCAAGAAAAGTGAGACATGATGTCCCGCTGTTTAGCATAGTCTATCAGAAACCAGCTTAGAAGTGGGAGGGAAATGAAGTAGATGCCATTTGCCAAATCTAGTTCTAGGTAGATCTGCAATTCGGGAATTCCCTTAAAGCCTAGAAGCTTAAGTAGTTCAGAAAGAGATAGGTTAGTTGGCTTGACCAGAAGGAAAAAATATATATATATACTTACATATATATATTTACATATATATATAATATATAAATACATATATATAACATATGTGTATATATATACATATATATACATAAATATATATATATATATGTTTAATATGTAAACATGTAAAATATACATAGCTAAGGGAAAGAGAATCAACAAAAAGAATTCTTGGCAGATTCTGGAATCTTCCCAATAAGCCAGAAACTTGAGTTCATTTATTTCATATGATAAACTAATATTTTCTAACATATGCTATGGGGCATAAGTTTAAAAGGAAACAATTCAGATGATCAAATGATAGGAGAAAATACCAGGTGGGAGTGGGGGTGTTAGTTGGCTGCATTAAGATAGCTCCACCTGCTGTTCCACACATTTGCTCTAGAGGGCATATGAGAGGCTATGTATTTCTTTCTAAATTAGTAGAGCCTCTTTTAATAGGGTCTTATTCTGTCCAAGCTGTTTTTGAGGGTGTGAAATTTGAAATCCTGATAATTATAGGGAAAGTTGCTTCTTCAGGGGAACCCAGATTAGCAAGCCTAAAGTCAGTGGTTCCTAGGGTTTTGATTTCTGTTGGGATGTGCTAAGAAATGTTCAAAGTTATGAAATTCATCCTCAAATGCAAATCAGATGAAAAGAGAAATATG